TGGTAGATGGTCATTCCAATTCAAAGTCAACCAAGCTAATAACCCAAAAAAGAAAAAGAGTCAACCAAGCCACTTTATACGACGAGGCCAAGAGAGTAATTAATGTATAATTTCCTGTTCATATTACATTGAGTATATTTTAATTTGAATATTCATTTCATATATTTTTTTTAAAATTAATGAAAGATAGGTTATTCGGACTTTGAACACTGAATAGAAAAATACCACTAGACCAAAACACGCCAATTTATATAATGAAAACATTAATAATATGAAATATTATTAATGTGAAATATTGTATATTTCATAACTGTCAATGTGAAAAATACATAGACAATATATGTAGATTAGTCGAGTTGACTCCAGTAGCATGTCTATCCTCCAGTATCCGAGTTTGAATTTCTCTCCATTTAACTTAGAGTGATTTAAAATATCGCATCTAAAAGAAAAAACGTAGGGGAAGTTGGTGAGAGCCAAACAGTATTTGAGAGGGCCGTAGTCCGCCTGAGTGGCTATTAATTAAGTGCTCAACAAACTTGGCTTCATTTAATACTGCATATGTCTCTCACTCAGCAAGTCCTCTCCCCAAATCTGCACCAGCAGTCAAATATAATGATAATAAAAAGGCAACCATAAATCTATATGCGTATATAGTTTTCTCAGTCAAAATATGACAGCCCAGCCCTCCATTGTTGGCTTGGCTTGCTTTGTTTTATATTGACAATGACCTGGACTGTCCCATTTATTCAATTTTCTTAGCTAATAATATATATTAGGACGGCCCTCTCACCTACTTTTATTTATTTTCCATCTTACCTATAATTTACCTATAATTTTATGTATTTATGCCTCGTGTAACAATTTAAAACTTAATGCAGAGGGGGCAACACTAGCTTAGTTGTGAATTTTTTTATTTAATATTATACTTTATTTAATAGGACTTCGGCTCTACTCCTGATTGCACGTATTTTAAATTTATCTAAAAATTGTGTACACAACAAGTAAATTGTAATTTGTAGAGCTTTTCGTCGTTACCAAAGAAATTTTTTTTTAGATCAAATCCTTATTCTAAGTCGTGATCAAGTACATGGAGAGAGTGATTAAGTGATTTTTATTATTTTTAATAGATTGAATAAAATGCTTGTATATGTTATAATATATTCTGAAGCTTGCTGGTGCTATGAGTTTCGCACATTCAAACTTGAACGGCGCCCCAGCGAAGCTACCCTAACTTCGTTGCTGAAAAAGGTTGACTTTAATGAAAATTGGAGCATCAATTTGGCATTCTTTATTTGGTGGTTTCAGTTTGTGGGGCTTCAACATTTAGGTCCAACAAAAGGTTAAATTTTACATATAACTGTTGTATAAACACTCTTCTCTTACTTAACGAGGGATATATAGTTCAAGTGATTAAGAGCACTTACAATATCATTTTTGCTTAAGTTTTTCATGTGATGTGACTGCTTGAATATGAAAAAGAAATTTCATTTTATTACCAAAAATTCTGTTTACACTCATGTTTCAATGGGTTTCTATTTTTATTCTCACCGTTCTCTTCTCTGGACACCCAACTCTTCCCAAAAATGTCATTTCTCTACTTCATCAAAATATTTTTATGTGGACACCTATCTCCATCATTGATTGATTTCATTTATTTCATTTTCTTTGTCACCAACCCTAAACCCAGCACTACTCATCACCTCACCTCACCTCATTGAATATGCAATGATTGCATACGTGTAAAGGAGGATGAGAGAATGATGACTATTTTAAGAGCATATATCCCTGCACTCAAGGTAATAAGTGTGATTCCCGCCTCCTAATATTGCTTGTAACAAAAAACCTTAATAGGCCAAACCCAGATAAACCTGGTTTTCATAAACTTGTTGGTCAGCTTGATAGTGGCTTATTAGTGTCCAAATTGGTTGGGAAAGAAATGTCCACCAATTTTAGCAGATACCCTTTTACACAATGTTGAACAGAGCACTTAACTTGATTGTTAATGACTAGGGCCCAAGGGTATATCCTATGTATTTTACCTTAGGTCTAAAATAACCCTTTTGTTGTGATGATCTTTAAAGGGTGACCAAGAACATACAAAATTTTGTTTATTAAACCATATTGTAAGATGAGAATGAAGAAGGTAGAAAAATAAGGTACAAATGGGAAGATAGCTAGTATTCTTCTTATTTTTAATCAATTTTTATATATACCCAACAACGTAAACTAGAAAATAATTATATAAAAAAACAAAAATAATGAAATTCCAAACTCTTTTGGACCTGAAAGTCTAAACGTTTTCAGTTCAATTTTCCTCTCACTCTTTGGTTCTCTATCAATTTATTTTTCTCATTGACTACTATCTCGCTGTCTTATATCAAATCCAATATCATCTCTGGTTTTTGCTACTCTTAACTTTTCTATTTCCAAAGAAAGATAAGGAGCCATGGTCTTGCATAAAAAATGTAAAATTATAGTTCCAATCTTATGAATGTCTTTTGATTCAAAGGTAATATTCCCTCAAATAGCAGAGCTTAACGAGTATCATTAGCACTCCTGTATTGTTTAATATGTAATAAATGCGTATGTGTAAAGGAGAGATGAGATGGTGATGACTATTTCAGAGTGCTAATACAATATTCGTTTACCTGCTTACCTGATTAGTGTTATAGACACAATGGATTTTATCTCCACGTGATTAGTGTTGTAGACACAAGGGATTTTATCTCCGGTTGTAAGTGAGATTCTCTCCATAAGGAGGCTATAAAGGCTCCAACATATGCAATTCCATCAAGGCCTGCAGGCCAATCACTGCTTTCTTCACTGGTTCATACTTTTTTCTCTTTAGTATGTTGGAGTAGAAGGGTTTAAAATTCGGATATTTCAATTCAAACCTCTCAGTTTAACCATATAATTGAACCTAAAAGCTCCTTTCAAAACATAAAACAAGAAAACTTGAATGGATTATAAGTTATGTTCTTGAAGCATGTAATTCATAGCTAACAAGTCAAGAAGCTAATGTTGTAACCAACATAAGATGTTATGCAGTCAGTGGAGGAGCCAGCAACTATTAAGAATTATTATTGTAATATATTTGCTTTCTAAGTTAGTCTAGGGTAAATCCCACTATAAGTGGATCTCGGCTTGTTAGTCTTAAAGTTAGACGTGATAGAATGTTGTATATGTATATATACTTTGTTATGTTGATATGAGAAACATACAAGAAAATATTCATCCAATTGTTCATCGTCTGTTCTATAACCCTTAACCCTACTTTGGTTTTCTTAAGATGGTATCAGAGCTCCATCCTGGTGCCTGATTTCTTGATTATTTCAAACCCCCAGCCAACTTCCAACACACCATGCCAAGTGCAGATCAAACACCACCAACAAACAAAAATTCCAGTTCCCAAAATTTAAGCAATAGCAACAGCAATTCTAGTATGGATACATCAAATCCATACTATGTTCATTCTTCATACCACCCTGGTCATATGCTCGTTCCAACAAAATTGAATGGTGCCAATTATCCATCTTGGAGTAAATCCATGATTCATGCCCTCACAGCCAAGAACAAAATTGGCTTTGTCAATGGTTCGATTAAGCCGCCCTCAGAAACAGAAAAGCCGACAAAATACGCTCTCTGGAATCAATGCAACAGTATGATTTTATCATGGCTTGCTCACTGTGTGGAACCTGATCTAGCCAAAAGGGTAGTCCATGCCATGACTGCTCATCAAGTGTGGGAAGATTTCAAAGACCAATTCTCACAAAAAAATGCACCAACAATCTATCAGATTCAGAAGTCCATCGCCTCTCTCTCATAGGGCACCATGACAATCTCGGCCTATTTCACAAAACTCAAAGGCCTATGGGATGAATTAGAGACGTATCGCACTCTCCCCACCTGCAACCAAATGAAAGCACACAATGAACAAGCCGAAGAAGATCGGCTGATGCAATTTCTCATGGGTCTCACCGATACTTACAGTGGAGTTCGTAGCAATATTCTCATGATGACTCCATTACCTAATGTTCGTCAAGCTTACTCTCTCGTCATTCAAGACGAAACACAACTAAAAATGGCATCGGGATCAACCGAAAATTTCTCCATCGCTGCTGCAACCCAGATTCGACCAAACAATTCCTCAAATAATTCCAAGGGGCGTTGTGAACACTGTGACAGAATAGGCCATACAATTGACACTTGTCGGACCCTAAAGTTTCATTGCAAATTCTGTGACAAAAAAGGCCATACTGAAGATAGATGCAAATTTAAAAATGGAGAATGGATTCTTAATAATGTAGGAAACCAAGGCAGTCGATACAAACAGCAGCCGCAGCAGCGTGGGACCCAAGGAGGATGTTCTTCCTTCCATACTGCCAACGTTGTAGACTCTTCTGCAACCCAGCCACAAGACTTGCACGCGCAAGCCCAGACTTCCACTTGGGCCCAACAGCCGCAGGTTTTCCACACTCCTGCCCAATTCTCTAACCCGCAGTCTTCTCAACAAAACCCATTAAATGGGTTTTCTGCAAACAGGTTCAACAACTTGCTCATGCCATGTCCCTGATGACTCCAAACCATACTTCCGGTAATATCCATGCTTATGCAAATGCAGCAGGTCTATCTTCTTTGCCCATTGCTTCAATTAATTCTATATTCACTAAGCCTTGGATTTTGGATAGCGGAGCTACTGACCACATCACTTTTGATTCCACACTTTTCACTAAGACAGAATCCTCACCAATTCCTATTGTTAATTTACCAACTAGTTCTTCGGCCCCAATAATTTCCACTGGCACCGTACCATTCAATTCTAATATCACTTTATATAAAGTTTTATGTGTTCCTTCTTTCTGCTTGAATCTCATGTCTGCGAGCAAAGTAACTAATCCTCTCAATTGTTGTGCCATTTTGTTCCCCACCTTTTGTGTCTTGCAGGACTTGGCTACGGGGAAGATGATTGGTACGGGTAAACAATGTGGTGGTCTCTATTACATGTCTCCGTTACAAAGGACCCATGTCTCCTATCAAGTTTCCCAACCCTCCAATTTATGGCATATGTGACTTGGACATCCATCGCCTTCTCGTCTTAAATTAGTGTCTCCGTTATTGTCTCATGATGGTATTTCTTTTGATAATAATTGTAGTGTTTGTCCAATGGCCAAACAAATAAGACTCTCATTTTTTATAAGTTCAATCTCAACTCATGCTCCATTTGATTTGTTACATTGTGATATTTAGGGTCCACACAAAATTTCCACACATTCAGGGGCACGTTTCTTTCTTACCATTGTTGATGATTTTACTAGATGCACATGGATTTTTTTGATGCAACATAAGTCTGACACTCAACACATTTTAAAATCTTTTGTTGCTGTTTCTCATACTCAATTTCATGCCAATATTAAAGCCATCCGAGTTGACAATGGGTCTAAATTTTTTTCAATGAGAGATTTCTTTCAAACTCATGGCATTGAATATCAACGCACTTTCGTTTACACTCCACAACAAAATGGAGTTGTTGAATGCAAGCATCGCCATATTCTCACCGTAGCACGTGCCTTACTTTTTCAATCCCATTTACCACTTTATTTCTGGGGAGAATGTGTCCTTACCACTGTTTATCTCATTAACCACCTCTCATCACCATTATTATCCACTAAATCACCTTATGAATTGTTATAACACTGTCCACCATCATTTACTCACTTGAAAGTTTTTGGTTGTCTATGTTATGCAACTGTTGTCCATCCTACTCACAAATTTGACCCCCGTGCTAAACGTTGTGTCTATGTTGGATACCCAACTGGTCAAAAAGGTTACAAACTTTATGATTTAGACACAAAGAAATTTTTCGTAAGTCGTGATGTTAAATTTTGTGAAAACATTGTAACTCGTGATGTTAAATTTTGTGAAAGCACTTTTCCATTTTCTTCTATTTTGCCACTACCTGATCCCAATTCTATGTTGTCCTCTTTCTCCACTGACGTCACTGACAGCGGGCCCCCACCACCACTTTTTCCCACCACAAATCCACCTCCACAAGCCCAGCCAACCCCATAGGCCCATCTACTTGACCCAACCGAGATAGCCCAGATGTCAGCTAGCCCTAACCCACCAGACAGTCTCCCTGCCCACGCACCTGACCATCATACCATCCTTGCTCCACCCATGACCCCCTAGCCCACACCTTCCGCGTACTCTGATACAACCACACACTCAGTGAACCAATCCCTTATTTCTTCAGCACTCCCAAATTCTTCCACACAATCCATACCCCCACTTGTTGCGTAGATACAGCTGCACCAAAATGGGTTCAACTGCATCCTCAACTTGTGATACTCGCAAGTGCACGAGCCGTTTGGTAGTA